CTCACTCAGGCCAGCCCCACCATCTTCAGATTCAACAGACATTCAAATGTTCATCCAACAGCATTATCAGCAGGCCTACTAGGTGACAAGCACCGAGTCTGGGAGGCTCTTCGACTGTGGGCCTCAGCTAAGCCGATCTACAGCTGTCTGTGGCTGAGCCTGGCTTGAGCAAGTGTTGAGAGGGAAGATTGATCCATGGACAAGAGAAATTGCAAGTAGTTAATGTGGTTCAGGTTCAGATTCTCCAGAATTCTGTGAGGATTACAAAAGCAAGGACTTTGGAGTCAAGTGACATGGGTTCTAATTCTGACTTGGTTCTTTAGTGGCTGTGTGACCTTAAGCAATTCTCCTCACCTCTCTGAGCCTGTTTCCTCATATATCAAATGGTTTTGGCTGTATCTACCTCAGGGTTGCTGGGAGGAGTAGGGATGATGTCTGTATTAAATGTAATCCAAGGACCTGTTAGGGTAGGTGCCCAGACCCATCAGACCAAAGCCCAAACCACACCCAAGGTTTCACCAGACTCAGAGAGCAGATGCTCAGGCCAGTGGCCTGGCACCACCACCAAACAATGCCAGCCCCATTGTCACTAATATTGAACCATCGGTGCCCTACCTGATTCCACCTCCTCACTGGCTAGATCAGAGCCCCAGAGAGGGCAGGTGATTACCCAAGGCAACACAGCATGGTGGTGGCCAAACCAGCACTGGAACAAGGCCTCAAATGGCATCAAGCCATTTGACCATCTGGAAGACTAAAATAATATGTTTCAGAGTATGGGTTCTGGAGCAAGGCAGGCCTGAGTTCGTGTCCTCCCTCTGCAACTTTCATTTATTCAGCAAATATTCATTGAGTGTCTGGCACGTGCCAGGCACCCGTGCTCAGTGTTGGGGACCAGATTCACATGGCCCCCGCCATCTCACAGTCTGGAGGGTGAGACAGTGAACAAATAACCAATGAATAAATAAGCTCGTCACCCACTGTGGGAGAGCAAGGAGAGACATACAAGGGGTGACGCCCTGAGACAGGACAGTGGGGCAGGGGGTCCCCTCAGGGCAGTCAGGGAGGGCCTCTCTAGGGGGCATCTGAGCTGGGACCTGGACACCAAGAAGGACCAGCCACACAGAGACTGCTGCAGGGCGTCCAGGCTGAGAGCTCAGGGCAGTGAGGAGAAGTGACGCCCGAGTGAGAAAAGGAGCAGGAGAGACACGCAGAGAGAAGGGAGAGCCCCGTCAGGCAGGGCCTCGGAGGTCACGGCCAGGAACTCAGCTCCGCCCACTGAGCAGCGGGAGGTCACTGAGGGTCTGAGCGGCTGGTGATGGGACCTGGCGTATTTTTTCAAGCGATCGCTCTGGCTGCTGCTATCTGTCAGTCACTCGATGGCTCTGTGACCTTGGACAGGTCGCTTAAGCTCGTGGAGCCCCGATCTCCTCACCTATAAAGTGGGGGTGACAACGATTCCTGCCTCAGCGGCCTCCTTGGAGGATGAGAGGGCAATCCACAAGGAGCACTTGGCAACTCGCCCTGTGCCATCTAAGTGCCGAATAGAGCTTTTTTTTTTTTAATAGATCTTTATTGGCGTATAATTGCTTCACAATACTGTGTTAGTTTCTGTTGTACAACAAAGTGAATCAGCCATATGCATACATATACCCCCATCTCCCCTCCCTCTTGAGCCTCCCTCCCACACTCCCTATCCCACCCCTCTAGGTCATCGCAAAGCACCGAGCTGATCTCCCTGTGCTATGCTGCTGCTTTCCACTAGCTAACTATTCTACATTCGGTAGTGTATATATGTCGATGCTACTCTCACTTCACCCCAGCTTCCCCCTCCTCCCAACCATGTCCTCAAGTCCATTCTCTATGTCTACATCTTTATTCTTGCCCTGCCACTACGTTCATCAGTACCATTTTTTTTGATTCCATATATGTGTTAGCACACGGTATTTGTTTTTCCCTTTCTGACTTACTTCACTCTGTATGACAGACTCTAGGTCCATCCACCTCACTACAAATAACTCAGTTTCGTTTCTCTTTATGGCTGAGTAGTATTCCATTGTATATATGAGCCACATCTTCTTTATCCACTCATCTCTCGACGGACATTTACGTTGTTCACTGCAGCACTATTTACAATAGCCAGGACATGGAGCTTTGCTTTTTCACATCACCACGTCCAAGGCTCTCGTCCTTCACCAGCAGGATGTCGCTCGGCCTGAACCTGTTGAAACCATAGGTCCCTCCAATTCCATCAACGCCACCCAGCCGCCCACGGCCCTGGGAGCACCACAGCCTCTGGTTCTTTCTTCTCCCATTTCTTGGATGAGGCCCCCGAGGCTCACTGAAGGTCAGGACCCATCTCAGTGCCCCTGAGAGTAGGAGGCCCACGGACCAAGAGCCTTGGACGCCATCGTCCCTGCTCATGTCACCACATCTCAAGGTAGGTTCTTCCCACATAACGACACCGTTATTTCTGCACTGGCCTCAGCCCTGGGGGTGTCTATTAAGCCCCTGTCCAGCAGAGGCCGCTGGGAGAGGCCAGTGGGAGCCCAGTGACAGGGAGCAGCCAGGCCCCACTCTCAATTAGGGCTTTGCAAATGGCCTTAGCGTCTGTCAAAGTCACGGCTCCATCTCCTGGGTGCCCTGGATATATAACATGTCCCAATCAGGGCCAATAGGCAGCTGGCCCCTCGGTGCTTGTGGAAATCCTATTTACTGGAGTGGGGCAGGCGGGGGCTTCTACCCCACATCTGCTCTGCCCGTGGCCCTGGGCAGAGCCAGGCTGGACCATTCATCTGCTTGTGCTCCAGGCAGCCTTGTCTGAGAGGCCACTGCCTCTGACACATTTCACAGTATTTGAAAATCAACGCCCAGGCCACAGATCACCCATTTGGTGTTGTATCAAGGGATCGTCTGGCTTTCAACGCCACCCAGACAGGCACAGAGCAGAGCAGTTAAAGGCCCAGGCTTTGGGGTCAGCCCGGCGTGTGTTCGTGTTCAAGTTCAAGTCCAGGCTCTGCCATGCAATGGCTGTGACTTTAGGTGAGGAAATGCCTCCCGCAGTCTCCCTCTCCTCACCTCTAAAATGAAGGGGTAGTGGCCCCTACTTTGAAAAGCTGTTGTGTGGATTAAGTAAGAGACAAAGCCTGCAGGTGCTCAGCGACAGGCAATGGTGATCACGTTTACTATCCAGAGACTTCAGTATTATGGTAAGAGATGGCATTTACTGAGGGCCAGTAATGTCACCATTACTAGTTCTTTTTAAACAATTTTATCTCCAGACTTCACAACCAATCCTGCAAGTAGGTAACACTATGTCCATTCTCTAGATTAAGAAACTGAACCTGGGGTGGTTCGGGGACTTGAGCAAGGTCACCAGCTGGGGGGATGTGGGAGCTTGGCTTGTTGATTCTGGAGCTGGTGCTTCTCCTAATACACAACCCACCCTCCCAGCTCCTCTGAAAGGTCAAGTAAGGCCAGACAGACAGGCAGAACCACACCACCCTCCCTCCCTCCCTTACACCAACATTTCCTGAGCATCAGCTCCAAGTCCAGTGCTTTGCTGAGAAGTGGATACACTCAGATGGACACAGAAACACTTCCTGCCCTTAAGGAACTCAGCACCTGATGGAGGGAGAAGCAGGGCCGCTGACCCACTGCACAGAACACATATGTATCAGTTAGCTTTTGCTGCATAACAAACAATCCCCAAACTTACTGGCTTAAAAGAAAGAACAATTACCTCTTCCAGTTCTGGGAGTTGGTTGGGCAGTTTCTGCTACATTTAATCATATAAGTACACTCACCTGACAGGTCAGCCAGGCTGCAGGGCCCAAGATGGCCTCATTCACCACGTGCTGGTTCTTCTCCACATGCCCTCAAATCTCCCAGTAGGCAAGACAGGTTTCATTACATGGCAGAGTGCCAAGAGGGCAAAATCAAAAGCTGCAATGCCCCTTGAGGTCTAGAAGCCAGAGCTCACTTGATGTCAATTCTGCCACATTCTGTTGGTCAAAGCAAGTTATACTCTATTGCTTGGCCAGTATCTATGACATACATTTGCAGCCCATCAGGTAAGGCTTAGTGGTCAGTTCCAAATGAGTGTGAGGGGGTCAGTTTGTGCCTTAGCTAAATGGGATCATAACTGTCTAAAAATTGTTTAATTCAGATTAAAGGATGTTGAATTGCAAGGTCATTAGAATGGGTCATATCCTTTAACCAATGGAGAAACTGAGGCAGAGTCAGCCAGTGTGTGAACAGAATCAGTACATCACAGAGCCAGTCTTCATATGAAGAAACTGAGACCCAGAAACAGGAATTGTCTTCACCAAGTCCTACAGCAAGTCTGTGACAGAGCCAGGAGTGACTCAGGTCCCTGCCAGCCAGGGCACTCCTCTTCCCACTGCACCCCCTGAGGAAGCCAGAGACTGGGAACGGGCTGGACTCAGGCAGCTGGACAATCATCCCCACAAGATATGTGTCTGCTCTGTCCTATCTCTGTTGTGTTTTAAATGGAGCTCTTTCTGCACACCTGGCACCACACAGGCACTTAACCACTACCTCATCTCATCATGCTAGAACTGTCCCCATTTTACAGATGAGAAACCAAGGCCAGGAGAGGCAGCTGATTTGCCCAGGGTCTCACAGATGGTGGGGACCATCTGCCTGACACTGAAGTCTGAGCTTCCCATGCTGGACGCGAAGGAGCTCAACCTACATCCAGGCCCCCAGGGTTCAGAGGCAGCTCTGTGGCCCTCGGAGGTCTCAGGATAAAGCCCCCTGTCTGAGTAAGTGCTTCAGAGGCTTGGGTGGAGACAGCAACAGCCAAGGTCCCTTGGAACCAGCTCTGCAAGTGGAAAGCCCCTGAATAATGCTCTGGTCCATGCCCCTCCCCCCATTTTATGGACGGAAAATTCGAAGCCAGACCAGGGCCCTCCCGCCACACTGGGAGGCTGGCGGCAGGTGAGCAGGCCCCAGTCAGGCTGGCCAGACACACATAAGGCTGCTCTGTGGCATTCAGAGAGCACGTTTATTTACAAAGCGCTTTACAAACATCAGCTTATGCCTCCCCACAGCCCCCTGCGAGGTAGGTCAGTAGTCATATCTACAGTTTACAGATGGGGAAATTGAGGCACGGAATGGGGGTGTGGCTTGCCCCATTTTAAAGAGACCTTCCCACCCCCCCCATCAAAAAATAAAATAAACAACAAAAGCATAGATCCTCCATCCCAAAATATACCTTCTTTCTCCAAACTCTAGAGGTGCTGAGCACCCCTAATTTAATAGCGTCCCAGTGGCCAGCCTGACCAGAAGCCACAGGGACCTCAACCCCAGGGGCTGTCATTCAGCCTTGCAGATTGTCACTGACCCAGGCTGAGCAGGACCCAGCCAGTGAGGCCTGAAAGTTATAGGCAGTGGGGGCTGAGGTGACTTCGTTCTGCAGACATTGGGTCAAGCAGGGAAGGGACCCCACACGGGACAGGGTAGGAATGGGCAGATCCTGGTTCGGGGAAGCTCAGAGCACATTCAGGGAAGCAGAAATGGAGGGGGGGTAAGGATCAGGAGCAAAATATCCCCAGGGCTGCAGGGAGGCAGCGGGTGGAGGAGGGAGCTGATGTTCCCCCTGGGAGGACGAGTCTGAAGTGCCCACTGGCAAATCAGGGCAGAGTCCAGTCTCCCCAGGACCCTCAGGGGCTGGGCCAGATGGGATGCTAGATGCCAAGCCCCAGTGCACTCTCTACCCATGTCCAGCCAAGCTGGGTGGAAACCCTGGCCTGGCACTTGCCCTACAGGGCCTCATTAATCTCTGCCGAGGGCTGGGATGCAATCCAGGGGCTTGAGCCTGGGTCTCCCAGAGCCGGCAGTTCTGAGCCCATCACGAGCCGGCAGTTCTGAGCCCATCACTCTGCCGGGCAGCGCCAGGCCTCTCAGAAGGCCTGCAGGACCCCGCGGAGGTGGGCTGGGCTGCAGTCTTGCTAAGCTCCTCCTTGGACCACAGCGTACCCACGGAGGTGCTGAAAGGCCCTGCCCACAGTAGAAGGGGGCACCAGGATGGCCCAGCGCCCACTCCAGTAATTTCCCTGTGAGGGCTACAGCTGAGCAGAGTTGGGGGCGCAGGTCTTCCATGTCAGTCCAGGATGGTGGGCCTGGCCCTGAGTGTGCAGTGGGTGCCCCAGGCCAGGGGCCCCTGCTATCTTGACTCCAGTCCCTCCAGGTACTCCAGGGCCACATCATAGCAGAAGTGGTACTGATCCTGGGAGAGGGAGAGAAGGAATCACCAGCCTGGTCCCTCCCTAGTACCCTAGTACTGGGGCAAAGGGGCAAGCATGAGCCCTGCCCCATCGATGGGGAGAAGGGGAGAAATGGGGGTAACATTTTGGCACCAGAGGACTAGAACCCAAGGCCCAACTGTGGGGGCCAGATAAGGGGGAGGGGTGCTGAGGGGCCTGGCCGGGCATGGACCGGGAAGTTGGAAGTGGCTGGGCAAGGGGTACATGGCGCCTCACCAGGGTCTCCACCATATTGGGTTTGTAGTTTCTAAGCATTTTGGCAGCAAAGAAAACGTCTACCAGGTTGTGGCAGCGGATCATCTCCAGGACCGTGGCGCAGGCGCAGAAGGTGCCGCTGCGGCCGCCCCCATTTCTAAAGGAGAGACACGAAAGATTTGGGGCTGGGCTTGGTGGGTAGGGCGAACTCAAGGGTGAAGGGCAGGGCAGGGCCAGGGAATCCAGAAGGGAGGGGCGGGGCGGGGAACCCAGATGGGAGGAGTCAGGGAGCCCAGAGGCGAGCAACAGGAAGAGAAGGTTAAGGGGATAACAGACTAGCATCCCAAGTGGAAGGTATCTAGGAAGGCAGAGCTTCCAAGAGAAACAGAGCAGATTCGAGAGAAAGGAGGCCAGACACACTCCAGGAGAAAGACACTGAGACAAAGCCGGCGACAGAAGAGGGCTGCAAGGCAGCAAGCAAAAATCCAGAGAGCAGGAGAGAAAACAAACACTGGGAACACCAGCGCCCCCTAGTAACACAGATACACTCCCAGTCAAACCCATGGCCTCTCACACGGAGACCCTCCCATTCCCCCAGTCCCCAGCCCTCTCCCTCCACTGTTCCCTGTGACCTGGGGTGTGGGGTTCCTCCTGGGAGATGGGGGATGGACTAGGCCCTCTGTCCCCTTCTCAAGGGGTCTCTCCCACTAGAACCAAAAGCCCTCGAGGGCCAGGCCCTGCCTGACTCAGCTCCCTGCCCCTGCCCCCATGTACCCAGCCTGACACAGGGAAGGGTAAGTGCTGAAAGCATGAAAAAGTGGGAGGCAAAGAAGTGACTGCACCCAGACGTGAGTGAATAAACGAATCTGTGAATGAGGCATGTGAATGAATGAATGAAAAAAGCTACATGCATGCAGACATGAACAAAGACCAGAATTCCGTTGATTTGAAAAGTATATTACCGTATCATGGGCTAAACTAACTATTCTGACAAGACTCTAGTTAAATTAGCAAAGTCAAACATCACACAGAGGGTAATGGGCGGGTGCTCAGGATTGAGTCCACACCCTGGAAAGTGACTGGGCTCCTCCGTGGAAGGCAGGGCCAGCCTCGCCTGGCTGGGCAGAGTCCAGGCCGTGCTGTCTGGGAGCTCAGGGTTTGGGTGCCACAGCCCCGAGGCCCTCTCTCACACTGGCCTCTGCCCCGGTCCCGTGGGGCCCTGACCCCTCCCCGAGCCGAGGGAGGGCCGGCACTCACAGGCAGTGTACGATGGTGCGCCCGTCACCGCTCTCTGCCTGCCACTTGTCCAGCTCGGCCAACAGGCGCAGGAAGGCCTTCTTGGAGTCCGGCGTGTCCCGGTACGCAGACCAGCGCAGGAACTGGAAGTGTCGCACCAGCAGGTGCCCCTCCTGAAGCTGGGGGTGCGGGCAATCAGCCAGGGGACATGAGTGCCAAGGGTTGCATGGCCCCCTGGGGACCTCAAGAGGGTCATTCAAAGCCACTCAGCCCCCACCCAGGTTCTCATCCTGGAGCTCCCAGATCACTCACCCGAGAGATGTTCTGCACCCGGAAAACGCGGGTCACCAAATCCTCGTCCGCTGTGCCTGACACGAACTCCACCTCCATGAGGCCATACTGCTGCCGGCCGGGCTCAGGCCAGTACTGCAGACACGGCTGGGAGCGCGGGCAGAGGGGGCGGAGCAGAGCGGAGCTGAGCCGGCTGGGCAGCTGCCGCCCACACCCACCCCCAGACTTGCACGCTTGCCCGGGGCCCACCATTCACTCCAGACTCACCTTCAGTTCCCCCCACATCCCACCACTCACCCATCAGACCGCAGTACACGCCCGCCCCAGTGCATTTGTACTGACACACTCAGGTCAGCCGAGGCAAACCCTTTATAGTGGTACACGGACACTCACTGCCGTGCCACGAGACAGCTACACCCAACACACTCACCAGCACACACACCTACACGAAGTTGCCTTCTTCCAGGGACAGGCCTCAGATCACCCCCACCCACGCCAGCACCCCTGCCCCACGGCCCTCTCTCTTGCTGCCTCGGCCCTCCAGCATCAGCTCACAGACGTGAGGTGTCCCTGTGCTGCAACACAGCTCAGCACCCCGACTCCTGCCCCAAGATCCCTCCGTGCAGTCAGGGTCCTAAATGTACCCCCTCCAGGGCACAGACTCAAGACAGTGGAGGGACACAGGAGAAGCAGCCCCCACACACGTACATACACGGGTCCTCTGGGCAGCTGGTCTGAGGCCCCAGCTTCTAGCAGCCTTCTAACAAGGCTCTTCCTTTCTCTGGGCCCCAGTTTCTCCGTCTGTGAAATGGTCCCTAGGCTCCTCCCAGACAACACCATGCTCCATCTCTGACCACAAAGAGAGGACATTACCTTCCTCCTTTGCCTGGGGGCCTGGCAACTCCTTGCATTCAGGCCTTTACACATGCTGCTCCCTCTCCATGGATCACTCATCTCCCACCTCTTCACCCAGTTAACTCTACCCTTCCTACACATCTCAGCTCAGATATTACCTCCTCCAGGAAGTCCTCCCTGATCCATTATCCCCCCAGGCTCCTGTGTGTCCCTGTGCCAGCTCCATGATAGCCCTCTCCCTCTGCTGTCATGATCAGTTTTTGTACCTGCTTACCCCTGGACCGTGAGATCTGGGAGGCACTGTGTGTTCTTCTGTCTCCCCACCAGGCTGACAGGGAGTGGCCCGTGAGGAAAGGTGGTTGAATGAATGAGCAAACGGGTGACCAGTGAATGACATCTGTGTGAGACTCCCTATGGGTCCCTCGCCTCCATCTGAGCAAGGGCAGGTCCTTGCCACATGGGATTCCCTGTCCAGGTGCTGGAGCCCATTACCCTGCAGTTCTAGGTCATTTATACCAAGCGCATGACTTGCAAAGAACCCAGGTAACAATCTTCCCCAGGCAGCCATTAAGAGGCTGTCATGCTCATTTTACAGCAAATCTTCCTGGGCCTCCTGGGATGGGGACCTGGGGCGAGCGGGGGGCCCAGAGATCTAGAGAAGATGGTCATGCAGGGTGGAAGGCTGGGCATCTGTACCTCCCAGGAGTTCCAGCTTTGGCAGCCCTGAAAGGAAATGAGGGTAGCTGCCCCTAGGCTGAAATCACTGACCAGTGTCTGGACCAACTTCAGAAGCGACTGTCACCCTCATCATCTTCATCCCTGCCATGTACTGAGCACCTGCTATGTGCTGGGCATGACACAGTGCTAAGCATACATCTCACATGGTCCTGACAATAACCCCTGAGAGAACAGGTGCTGTGATAGTCCCCATTTCACAGAGAGGGAAGCTGAGGCTCAGAGAGGTAGATTAACTTACCCTAGATCAAACAGTCAGAAGGTAAGGAGGCTGGAATTTTACTCTGACTCAAAGGCCCCCATCGTGAGCAGTTTCGTTGAGTGACTGAAAAAGCAGAGGCTCTGGGAGGCGGCAGCCCAGGGTAGGGGGCACAGCTCTGCCACTGCCCAGCTATGTGACCTTGGAGAAGTCACTTCACCTCTCTGGGTCTTAATTTTCTCACCTGAAGCCCATGAGTGCAAAGCAGAGTCCCTGGCATACATCAGATGCTCCATAAAGAACAGCTATTTTTCTCTACTCTGAGCCTCGTTTTACAGACAAGGAAACTGAGGCTCTGGGAGGAAGTAGGACACATCTAAGGTTCCTACTCAGCAAGTAGGTGGCAGAGCTGGGTTCCAACCACTGACTTTTGAGATGTGCCCTTGAATACACTGAGGTCCTAGGCTGCAGGTAGCCAGCCTGCCCGGCCAGCAGGGCCCTCACCCAGGCGGAGTTGGACTGGTGCAGTTGGTTGAGCATGACGATGGAGGTGCACCCATAGTCGTAGACCAGCCGCCAGAAGTCAGGCGTGGTGCTCTGCAGCGGGTGCAGGGTCACGATGAAGGCTGCACTCCGCGTGTAGCTCTGCAGGGAAACCAGAACTCAGTGCCCCGACATTGCCAAGCCTCTGCAACAGACTGTCCTCCTGCCTGGCCCACCACAGCTCTGCCCCCAAAGGACCAGGCTGCCTCCAGGGGCCCAATTTGGAGGCTGGCCAGCAACTGAGGCCTGAGTTGATGGGGTGAGCCCCCAGACCTCTAATGCCCAAGCCCATGGCCCCCAGGAGCTAAACGGCAAAAGGTTCCCAATGGGTGGCAACGGGAGCTTGGGCATGGTAGGCAGAGGCTGGCCAAGCTTGCTCCCTGCCTCAGTGCCTTTGCACCTGCTATTCCTGTTGCCAGGAACAAATTTCCCAAGTGTATACATGGCTCTCTCCCTCACTTCCTTCTGGTCTTTGCTTAACTTCACCTCTTCAAAGTGGCCCTCCTTACGAACTCATTAAAAATTGCCACACACACACCCCAAGACCCACATTAAATACTTCTTCTGCCTGGTTGTTTTTTGTAGAAATTACCAGCGACTGACATTCCATTGCATATCTGTTTGTTGACTGTCTCAACCCATTCCCCAAATACAAGGTTCAGGAGGGCAGAGATTTCAGGGTGTGGCCTGTGCCCGGAACTTTGTAGGGGTTCAATAAATATTTTTGAATAAATAAATAGCTAGGTCCCTTCCAACTCCACGGATAAAAGGTCTGAGACCCCAACCCAGAACCCCAGACCAGTGACCGGTACTGACTCTGTTCCCTGCTCCCAACCTTGCCCCTCCAGGTGGGCTGGCACCAGCCTTCCCCCTTTTCAGTGCTCCAGCCCCAAGTCTCCTCCTGGTGCCCTGCCTTGACCCACCTGTGCCATGTCCCCCTTCCTCTCCTGATGCTCTTCTCTTCCGACCCCCTCCCCAGCACTCACTGAAGGCTCCCTGATTGCCAGCTCCTGAAGGCCAGGCCCAGCCAGACTCCAAACCTCAGGCCTTGGCACCCAGTGGAGCTCCCTGCAGACTTAACCAGCCACAACAGACCCCAGCTGGCCCCGAAATTAGCTCACTACAACCCAAGCATCAGGGCCTCCTGGCTCCTGGGACTCATGGTTCATGAGGCAAAAGGCTTTGCATGGCTAGGATCAAGTGTGTGAGATATCACGGCCCCAGGGAAGCTTCGCCACCTTACTCGCCCATTCCTGTCCAAGGCCAGGGAGCCAATGTGACCCTCTCCAGCTCAGAGACTCTCAGGACCTCAGAGAGCCTCCTTTCCATCCCCCCATGTGCAGATGGGCACGCTGAGGCCAAAAAGCAAGCTGAGAGGGAGGCCACAGATTCCTACGTCCCCATCCAAAGCTCTCCAGCACCCTCTGCCACCTCTCCAGGGCCCCGGCCCCCTCTCCCTTCACTCCCTTCAGTGGCTGGGGCCACTCCCCCACTTGCCTTCAGCTTGCTCCAGGAAGCCCCTGGGAAACAAGTGTGGGAGCTTTCCCTCCTTAGAGAAACCCCACTGTCCCCTGCACCTGCGTGCCAAGGGGCCCTGGCCAGGAACTGGGCCAAGAAAGGCCCATCTCCCTCATCCCTGCTGTAGGGGAACCTCCCTCCCCACAGCTCTCATTTCCACGTGGAGGGACGTCCAGTGGTGACACACCTGGCCTCGGCCCACCTTCATGCACTCCTCCCATGGGCAAGTTTGGGATGAGGACGGAGTGTGCTGAGCTCGGCCCCTTCCCTGCTTTTTCCAGGCCAGCCCGTCCTGTCCTCAGAAGGTGTGCATTCAACTGCTGCTGCTCCCTGCCGCAGGAAAGGCCTATCCCTGATGTAGGGGGCATGTGTGGGGCTGTGGCTGGACAGCTGTGGCCGGGAGGACCGGTGTGCCTGCCTGAGGGGTGAAGGAGCAGCCAGTCCACCTAGCCACATCACTGAAGTCACATTCTCTAGTGTCACTGGCTTTCTTAAAACAGTAACATTTTACCTCCACCTGTCTGGCCCCTACACCTCTCTCTCAACTGGGTCCAGTGTGGGAAGGAGTGAGGGGACACTCCCAGACTCATCCCCCTCAGGTAGCAGCACCCTATTCACTGGACCCTGCTCTGCTTGCAATGCCCAATAAAGGCAGTGGAGCCCCCTGAGCTGGGAGCAAGGGAAGGGGCTCCTAAACAGCTCCTGAGCCCTCAGACCATGGCCAGGCTGGGCCCAGGGAACAAGTCACTACTCCAGGCCAGGTCCTGGGCAGGCTCTAGCTCGACCACCCCAAGACAAGCTCCCCTGGCTCCAGATATCAAATCTCAAGTCCCAACCCCAAACCCTCCCAGCCTCCCCAGTCAAAGCCCTCGAATCACTCATCCTACCCCAGGCTCTACTGGGCCTGACCCTGGAGATAGCCCTGTCTGAACTCCACCACCCAGACTTCTATTCAGGCCAGGGGTAATACCTGAAGGGGGGCACTGGCTTAAGTGCCCTGAATGGAAGATCCTTGGGGGAAGGAGGACCACACAATGGGCCTGGTCCCAAGAAAGGCAGAGGTCCCCCTAATCAGAGCCCTCAGCTCTGTCCCCCTGGCTCCTGGACCTTCCCAGATGCTGCTGGGTGGGCGAGTCCCAGAGCCCACCCCACCCCCGTGGGCACCCCCGTGCCCTCACATCTGTCAGGGCTGCGTTGATGTAGTTGTTGGGGTCCCCGTCGGTGGAGATGAGGAAGGGCAGGCAGCGGTCAGGCGGCAGGACGTCCATGCTGCGGTTCTTGTCCCGGTTCCGGGGCAGCAGGGCGATGCTGCACTCCTCCACATCCAGTGGTGGCGTGACCGAGTTCAGCGTCTACAAGGAGTGGGGAGAGGAAAGGGAGGTGACTCCTGTGTTTGTGGGGCCTCCTCCCAGCCCCATGAAGGAGATGGGGCTGGGATATTAGGCCCATTTAATGGATGGAGACACTGAGGTCCAGAGGGAAGGGAGAGAGGGACGGATACAGGCTCCCTGTCTCTAGGATGCACAGGGCCTGGACAGAGCTCTGGGGACTGGAGTCTGCCTCCTCAGCACCTATGTAACTTTATAGACAAGCTACTGTATCTCTCAGCCTCATTTTCCCTCAACTGTAAAATGGGATAATAATATGCCAACCTCACGGGGCTGCTGGGAGGATAAGTGAGATAATATCAAGCCTGGCACAGGCACAGCTTTCAACACACAGATGGCACCATGAGGATCATTACCAGGTGCTTGCAAGGAGCTAAGCCCTGAAACCCCATATCTTCCACAAAGCAGACTCCAGGGACCTGACACAGGTGGTCACCTTCCTCCATCATGGCCCTGTCAAGGGACACCTGGCACAATAGCAAGCCAGGGACTCTGGGTCACCTCCCCTACCCTCCTGCCTTCATGTTTCATGCATCCTGATTCGTAGGGTCTCCATTTCTTCCCTTGTTCTTGGGGCTCCCTATCAGGGAACCCAGTCTCTCACGGTCCTCAGGTCTCAACATCCTTCTCCAGGAATCACAGAGAACATTTCCTGTGACATCACTCTATGCCCGTCCTAGAGCGCCAGGCACCCGGCATGTACCACTGAACCCTCATGGAAACCTTGGAGTAGAAAGGCCATCTGGGGTCTCTCCGTACCCAGTGACCACGCTCAAACTTCTCTGGAGAACCAGCCTTCTCCCATCTCAGTCATGTGACACGGTGAGACTGGCCCTGCCCCCAGAACCAGAACCAGGCCTAGGCCTATCTGTGTGCTCCATCTCTCTGGTCCCAGTGATCAGCTCAGAAATGGGCACATGTGAGTCTGGTTGGGACTTTTATTGGGGCTGTTATGAGCACGAACTGCCCTCTTCCAGAGTCTTCTGACAGCAAAGATAATGTAAGCCTGGCACCGTGAGGGGCCACAGTGTGGGTCTGAGAATGAAGCCAAAAACAGAAGAAAGCAGAACCAAAAATGGACACAGACTAAATCTTGGCATCATCATTTGAACCCCTGGATCCAGCCATAACTAAAGCTGTACCATCCTCAGACTTTTCAGTTACAAGAGCCACTGAGCTGGACTTTTATCACTTGCAACCAAAAGAATCCTAATGACTACAAAGACTGCAAGGACAATATTAACTATCTTTCTTTTCTGGGTAAGAAAACTGTGGTTTAGAGAGGTAAAGTGATTTGTTCAAGGTTATTCACAGCTCTTAACTAGGTAAGCTAGGATTTGAACCCAGGTTTATCTGACTTCAAAGCCTGGGCTCTTAATTTCTTGGATGCACCACCTCCTCCGCTGTCTCTAAGTCCTTCCTAGTAACCCAGCTCTGTGCATCCTGCTTGGCCCTTGGTGACTCCTACAGCACTGAGGACCTCCCAATACTACACACACACACACACACACACACACACACACACACACACACACACACACACACACACAAATAAAATAGAAAGCTATGCTTATTAATACGTGGTAGCACAATCTGAGCTCTGAGTGACACAGCATTCCTTTGTCATTTCTGCAGATCTATAGATAACAAAGTATTCTCACAAGAGACTTTCAACCACCAACTATTGATATTATTAAAATTTACATACTATTTATGCTTTTCAAAACCAGAAAACAACAGGAACAACATGGGAATTTAATAAAACATAATTATTTCTTAGGTAAAACCATTCTGACCTTTGGAAAGAGGGTGTCTCAGCAGGTGCTCACCTTAATGAGGATCCCTTCCTTGCAGTGATGGATCCCATTGTCACTCAGGGTGCACTTACTCCCGGGATATATTTCTATACCTGCACCCTACAAGTTACATTTTAAGGTAATGACAATCAGTTTAAAATAGGCAAGACTATAAAAGAAGGTTTGTCACTTCTTAGACTTTAATGCAGTGCATATACAAAGTATTTTATAGAAAGTTTTATTAGGTATTTCTAATCAACATTTCCATTTGCTTCATTTCCAGCAAGTTGTCTATCATTTATTCCTTTCAAATACCCCCGCCCCCCCACCACACACACACACACACACACACACACACACACACACACACACACACACACACACACTCACATACTCACAAACCACACCTATACACATATACTCATGCCCCACCTGGAACTCCTCCCGCAGCTGGGAGGAATTACTCTGAGGGTCAATGCGGATCATCTCCTTGTAGGTGGCCTTGAATTCACTGACAGGGATGGTGGTCTCCCCACACAGGCAGGCCTCCAGGATTGCATCATGGATAAAGATGTACTGCTCCTGGAGCAGGAGACGAGAATATGAGGAACCAGGAGGGGAGCAGAAGTTAGAGATTTTAGGGTTGAAGGGGGAGGCAAGCTCATGTTTGAGGCCGGGTTGCTCTGAGGTGGAGTCCAGCCACCTGTTACTACAGGTTGGACCCACTGTACCTGAAACAACCTTCAGGGATGTTTGCTCACTTATCTCATATTTCATCCCCATAATAGCCCTACGAGAAGCTCTGAAGGTGAGGGGACAGTCCAGGGTCACACGTCTAGTGAGGAGACAAATCCAGTAAGCATTATGTCTTGACTGTAGAACCTATGACCTTGGCGCAGTGCTGTCTGACCTCACCCAACTGAACACAGTGGAGCTGATTTTGGGAAGACCCTAAGAGGCTGGCCGACCAAGTTCAGGGATGGGAAAGAACAAGGGGACATCTTAGGACACCCTTCTGCCACACTCCACCGGCTTCAAGCTCCTGCACGAGGGACACTCCTGCTGGAGGGGAAGTGGGAAGAGGACTGCAACCCCACCTCAGTCTGGATCATGTTGACGCGCCGGGAGCAGAGGGTCTTCACGCAGTTGTAAATGTCCACGACGCCCTCACACTCCGCCATGTCCAGCATCACATCCAGAACGATGTAGCAACCTGTGCGGCCAGTGCCCGCGCTGGGGAGACAGCGGCCCAGGCCAGGTCAGGACCTTGGGGAGGAAGCCCGGGACCGAGCAGAAAAAGAGAAGAGGCTGCCTGGGGCCCCTGGCCATATCTACACCACACAGGGGATGGGGGATACAGGAGGAGCCAGGGACAAGGCTGCTTGGAAGAGTTCCGGTGAAATGTGATAGAGGACAGAGTGAGGGCTGGGCCTTGGGGAAGGAGAGGAAAGAAAGGGTAGGGAGAATGCAGATGTGAAACCAGCCCAACTTAGCAGCTGTGACTGGGGGAGAGGAACAAAGGTGCTGCTCAGAGAACATTAATCCAAGAATGTTCTGGTCTCCTGGATGTCCCAAAATCTCCTGCACATCCTTCAAAGCCCTACGCACTCAAACCCACTCACATACTCAGTGGCTCCTCCAGCAGATGTCATGCTTTTGAGCTCCCAGAGCAATTTGGGTGGACTTTTATCAAAACCTTCCTTCCTGCTCCGTGGTCATTGTTTATATGGCTATCTCCCTCACCAACTGGGAGCTCCTTGAGAGCTGGGCTGGGTTGGACTCAACTCTAGGATCCTCACATTCAGCACCAGCTTGAGCAGAGTTGAGAGGAGGGGGGAGGACAAAGATGACACCAAGATCTCAAGCTTGAAAATGGCAGTAGCAAAGTGTCGGCCAAGACACACAGCCACCGCGTCTCCCGTACGCCGCTGCTGGGGGCTTGAATTAGTGCAACGACTTTGGAAAACTGTTTGTAGTACCTAGTTAGGCTGAACATTCACACAGCAATTCCACTCCTACGTACATACCTCCCTGGAAGGTGTGTGTGTGCCGGCCAAAAGACATGTAATAGAATGTCCTTAGTAGCACTATTCATAATAGCTCAAAGCTGGAAATGCCTATCCATAGCAGAGTGGATAAACACACTGCGGTTTATTGACCCAGTGGAATAGGATACAATATGGATGAACCTTATAAACATAAGGTTAAGGGAAAGTCAGATTCCAAAGTGCACCTGATGTATGGTTCCATCTATACAAAGTTCAAAAGCATGCAAAATGAATCTAAGGTTTAGAAGTCAGGATAGTGATTGCTCTGGAAGGGAGGAGGGGGGTACAGACCAGAAGGGGGCTCCAGGGGCACACTTGCTCAAAGGAAGCAAATGGATCTCAGTCCTGCCTGGTGCCTCGCCAACCCCTCACCCCCTCCATGTCTCCAGCACCCCCTCGGCATCTGAGAGAAGGGCCTCCCCAGGTCTTGGGGAGCACACGAGGGTGCCAACCCCAGAGCCAAAGCTCAAAGGGCAAAGGGCCCCTGGTGGTCATTCTCCCCTGTCCTCTGTCTCTGAGCAGGAAGGACCCAAGCCCAGTCTTGTTTAGGGACCTCCAACAGCCCCATTCCCCGCCCCTCTTCTCCCTGGGCTTCCCGGCACCCCACCTGCAGTGGATGACAATGGGTCCAGCATCAGGGGGCGTGGAGGCCTTCACGCGCCGGATGAAAGCCAGCAGCCCCGTGGCGTGGTAGGGGACGCCGTGCTCCGGCCACGCCGTGAAGTGGAACTGGCGGACCTCGTGGCAAGCAGAGTAGCCTCTCTGGGGAGACAGGAGTAGTAACAGTCAGAGTCCCTGCTGGCGTCTATCAGACACTTGCTGTGTGCCGGGCACTGGGGTGAGCATCTCACCGCAAGAACTCAGTTCACCCCGATGAGACTCACGAGGTGGGTATTAATGATTCATTGTACAGGAGAGAAAACTAAGGCTCGAAAGAGGAGAAACCACTTGCCCGAAGTTAGACGAGACAGATATTATGCAGGAGCTGGGCTGGGATCTTCCTGATGCCAAGCCTGCATTATTAGTCACCCACCTCTACCGCCTGGATTACACAACAGCCCTAGGAGATCATCTTGACTCTCCGGGTCTTAGTTCAAAGGGGGAAAACTATCTTTCTTCTGAGGATATTTCAGACGATCAAGTGGGACCATGATTAGGAAAATCTAGTCATCCTGACCCTGTGGCTTTTCATGAGTGACGTAAGCAATCTGAGCCTCACTTTCCTTAACTGTAAAATGGGTCTAAGGGCAAAGGCCTAATCCCACAGAGCTTTCCAGGGCTGAAACAATATGTGCAATGGGCTTAGCACAGCACCCAGCACAGAACAGGACCGGCACCTGGGCTGCGATCCGCATCATCCTCATCACCTCGACTTCCTCTTGGAGTCGCCAGCAAAGACGGCCGCCTTTCCACCCGTCCGCGGTGCTCTCAGCAGTTACCGAGTAGCTGCCTTGCTGGGCAGGCAGCAGGGCCCTTCCCACCCTCCACTCCTGGGCTGGGGGAGGTGGGCTCTGCCCCACCTCGCAGGCAGCCTGGGAAGGGCCCTGTGACGACAGGAGACTCACCCGCTCCAGGGCAAAGCTGCGCACAACATACTCCGCTAGGATCTCCGTCTTCACCAGCGTGATCTTGATGTCCCCGTACATGTCCGAGTCCTCTGGCCAGTACCGCGAGCATTTCACCTGGAGTCCCCGCGGGGCAGGCTCAGTGGGCTCTTCACTGCCCCCTGGCCTACCACGCCCGTCCCCCACGGCCCCACTTACCCTGCCCACCTCCACCAGCTTGGTGATCATGACAATGCTGGAACAGTGCTCCTGCCACACCATGCGCCAGAAGTCGTAGACCATCTCGGGCTTCGGCCCTGGGGGCACAGAGGGTGCTTGTCCCTGAGGCCAGGTCTCCACCCAGGCCCAGCACACGGCTGCCCCGCACCACCACCCCAGGCCAGGAGACTCCTGAGTCCCAAATGGGGGCTTCATGCTCACCCCACACACACCCCACCAACTGCCAACTCATGCCTGTTGGGCCCTGGGGGTGGGCATTATCAGGGAGGGCCTGCCTGGAGGCCCCCCCCTCATCCCGAGTGCAACCCAAGAAGCAGAGCTAGAGGGTCACGGCACAAGTCTCCAAGCGGGATGGACAGATGGACAGCTGGGCGGGAAGATGCAACCAGAGGGACCCAGGCGGCCCCCAGACCAAGAGGCACAAACCACACCCGTGAGGACCGAGTCTGGCTGGCCCTTTTGCATGCAGACAGACAGCTGGACCAGGAGCTACAAATGGATGGTGCACATCAGGGAAACAAAAACACAAAGAGGGGGCAGAGACGGATGGCCAGATTCCAGACACCCAGTCAGAGAGTGGGGCTCAGACAGACAGAGAGACAGATGGGAGGCAGGCAGATAAGCAGGGAAGGCAGGAAGGCAGGCACACTAAGGGGCACACGGGCAGGGGTGCCAGGTACCTTGAGTGGCTATGAAGTGGTTTGACCTGTGGTAACCCTGGAACAGAAGAGGGTGTGTTAAGACCCCAGGGAGCAGCCCCTCACTTGCTCAGGCCCCCTCTGCCCTCCTCTCCCAGAAGCTGCACACACCCCCCAGGGAGCTGCCCCAGCCTCCTGACCAGGGTGTCCCTGTCCTCCCAGTCCCCAAGTAAGGGAGTACACCTTAGACACCAGTGTCTTAGGTTTAAACCCATCCTTGCTATGTGACCCTAGGGAGGACAAACTCCTTTACGGGCCTAGAGGGTCTCCCCATTCATAAATTGGGGATAATTATCCACAATCTGCTTACAACCTGGCTGCTGTTTGAAGACAAATAAATTGCGGGGTGACCCTGGCCTGTTCCTAAAGCCCCAGAGACCCTAAGCAACCCCAGATCCTAGGCTGGGTCTTGTCAGCTATCCCGGCCCCCCTCAGGGCAACCAGAATGGGCAATGCCCCTCCCGGCTACCCCAGTCACCCAGAGCTTGGGTGGCCAGATGAAGGCTTCAGGTTAGGAGCAAATGAGCACAGGAGTTGCTCATGGACTTTAGATAAAATGTGTTTTAAAATCTTTGAAATCAATAATAAAAAAAAATAACAAATAATTAAAATAATTATTTATTAAAATAATAATACATTTTTGAGGTCCTATTATGGTCACATACTGTGCTAAGCACTTTACCTACATTATCTCCCACAAAAGAGAGGCCAAGAGCTACTTTGTCCTCCATCCCCAGAGCCCTCAGGCTGAGAAGTGGAACCAGCCAGACGCCATCCCCACCCTGGGGCCTTAGCCACCCATGAGGTCCCGCCCACAGGAGACACCTAGGGAATCAATGTAGGCAACACGGGATAGGTAAGGAGTACTGCAGGCCCGGAGCAAGAGAAACAACCAAGCTCGGCTACTTGCCTCAAGTTCACACCCTCAATACAGCTCCCAGCAAATCCTCTGGTCCCGTGGGCTTCCCAGGTCCAAGGGGCCCTGGAGTCAGACTGCCAGAGTTCAAATCCCTGCTCTGCATAGCTCTTGCTAAGTATGTGCCCTTGGGCAAATCCCTTTACTTCTCTATGCCTGTATTTTCACATCTATAAAACGGGAATATTGGGCTTCCCTGGTGGCGCAGTGGTTGAGAGTCCGCCTGCCGATGCAGGGGACACGGGTTCGTGCCCTGGTCCGGGAAGATCCCACATGCCGCGGAGCGGCTGGGCCCGTGAGCCATGGCCGCTGAGCCTGCGCGTCCGGAGTCTGTGCTCCGCAAAGGGAGAGGGCACAACAGTAAGAGGCCCACGTACCGCAAAAATAAATTAATTAATTAATTAATTAAATGGGACTATTTATAGCATTTACTTCCTTGGACTCTTGTGAGGAGTAAATAAAGTTACATATGCCAAGGGCTTGGCACCATGGCAAGCACTAAGCCAGTACTTAATCAATAACAGCCATTACTATTACTACCACTTTAAAGGCCAACGAGTACCCCTGAAGATCTAAATGGTGTGAATGTCAGGAATTCCTGGAGATCTAAATGGTGTGAATGTCAAGAATTCCTGGGCAGACAGTGGTTTACAACAGGGGTTAAGAATCTGAGTCTTGGGTCAAGTTGACCTGGGTCTCTGTTGCAACTCTACCAAGGAGCAGCTGTGCGATTCCAGGCACTAAGCGGGCTCTTCTCAGCCTTTACTGTGCACGCGAATCTCCTGGAGATCTTGTTAAAGGGCAGATTCAGATTCAGAAGGTCTGGGGCAGGGCCCAGGATTGTGCATTTCCAAGCAGATCCCAGGTGGTGCCAAAGCTGGGCTTCAAAACACACTCTGAGTAGCCAGGCTCTCTAAACCTCTGTTCTTCTCCAGAATATGAGGATAACAGCAAGACATGCACGTGTTGTATACCTACACGTTCCCATGAAAATGACCAAAACATAGTCAACATTACCAATAACGAAAAGCCTCCCAGAGTCATTAGCCCTCACTACTGGAACCTCTCTGGGTCTAGCCTAATTCCCTCCTGCCATGTCCCCAGCCACTGCCTGTGCTTCAAGTCCTCAGGGGAGTTGCTGGGCATCTGAGGTCAGAGGGGTGCTGCCCTCCACCCCCAGCCTTAGTCAAGCTGGGAACAGGCTACTCCACCTAAAACCGGTCTGCCTGAGAATCTCAGGTGAGAGAGCCAGGGTCTCTTCTGATTCATCCATCTCTGTCCCTCCAGTGCCCAGCACACTGCCAGCGCCCAACTGCTAGTCAGTATACAGCAAACAACTGAACAAGGTTTTAGACAAATGGCCTTCAATATGCCGCGGAGCGGCTGGGCCCGTGAGCCATGGCCGCTGAGCCTGCGCGTCCGGAGTCTGTGCTCCGCAAAGGGAGAGGGCACAACAGTAAGAGGCCCACGTACCGCAAAAATAAATTAATTAATTAATTAATTAAATGGGAATATTTATAGCATTTACTTCCTTGGACTCTTGTGAGGAGTAAATAAAGTTACATATGCCAAGGGCTTGGCACCATGGCAAGCACTAAGCCAGTACTTAATCAATAACAGCCATTACTATTACTACCACTTTAAAGGCCAACGAGTACCCCTGAAGATCTAAATGGTGTGAATGTCAGGAATTCCTGGAGATCTAAATGGTGTGAATGTCAAGAATTCCTGGGCAGACAGTGGTTTACAACAGGGGTTAAGAATCTGAGTCTTGGGTCAAGTTGACCTGGGTCTCTGTTGCAACTCTACCAAGGAGCAGCTGTGCGATTCCAGGCACTAAGCGGGCTCTTCTCAGCCTTTACTGTGCACGCGAATCTCCTGGAGATCTTGTTAAAGGGCAGATTCAGATTCAGAAGGTCTGGGGCAGGGCCCAGGATTGTGCATTTCCAAGCAGATCCCAGGTGGTGCCAAAGCTGGGCTTCAAAACACACTCTGAGTAGCCAGGCTCTCTAAACCTCTGTTCTTCTCCAGAATATGAGGATAACAGCAAGACATGCACGTGTTGTATACCTACACGTTCCCATGAAAATGACCAAAACATAGTCAACATTACCAATAACGAAAAGCCTCCCAGAGTCATTAGCCCTCACTACTGGAACCTCTCTGGGTCTAGCCTAATTCCCTCCTGCCATGTCCCCAGCCACTGCCTGTGCTTCAAGTCCTCAGGGGAGTTGCTGGGCATCTGAGGTCAGAGGGGTGCTGCCCTCCACCCCCAGCCTTAGTCAAGCTGGGAACAGGCTACTCCACCTAAAACCGGTCTGCCTGAGAATCTCAGGTGAGAGAGCCAGGGTCTCTTCTGATTCATCCATCTCTGTCCCTCCAGTGCCCAGCACACTGCCAGCGCCCAACTGCTAGTCAGTATACAGCAAACAACTGAACAAGGTTTTAGACAAATGGCCTTCAATACCTGCATATTAACTTTTTAATTGCATACATGTATTACACAATTATATCACACAGAGGACAGTGAAATGGAAAGTTTTAAATGATCAGATGTTAAAGGAAGATAAGGAGACACCTTGAGCACACCCACTTTAGAGACCAGGATTAGAGAGCAGAGGTCTTCACACTCTGGGCCATCAGCATGTCCTAGGGGCCTGCTCCCACCCCTCCCTGGCGCCTCTGAGTGGCAGACACCCACCCTTCCCTGGCGTCTCTGAGTGGGTGGAGCTGGGAGACTGACGACTTGCACGGTGGGCAAGACCCCAGGGTATCCCGATGCCCCCGAAGGGAGAGATCCAGGGTCTCGTGTAAGGGTGAAGGGCTCAGGCTGGGTTCGAGCTAATCCAGAGCTGTGGGGCCATGAGTCAGCCACTCAACATTTCTAAGCCTCAATTTTCTCGTCTGCCAAATGCAGGTCCCAACCTTGCAGAGTGTGATACGGGTGGCATGATGTGCCTGAGGTGCCTGGCACAGAGCAGGTGCTCAGCCAATGACACTCTTGTTAATGGACATTTGAAGATTAATTAAGCCAAGTCTCCTCGGGGCATTTCGTAAGAGTCTAACAATAACTAAATGAGTAGTGTGTTTTGTGGAGATTGAGACGTAAAGTATTGATACAACAACCTATATTCATCACCTCCTAAGGGGGGCGCTAGGGCTGAGTACATCCACTGCCTTCTGTGGGCTTAATATTCCACTTAAGTTTAGGAACTTTACAAATGAACTGTTTAAACAAACTCAAAACAAGCCAGAGGGTGCCTAGAAGCACATCTGGGACAACTGTCATCTCCAGCAGGTGCGATAGCCGGGACCTTACACTTTATATATTAGGTATCTCCGTGCTGTCTGAAAGTCTAATGATGAATTGTATTTTTGCAATCATAAAAAAAGCAAGAAATATATTTGTAAAATAAAAAAGGAGATAAAACAGACGAAGTACCCAAAAAAGAAAACAATCCCATCGGGCATCAACTATTACGAAAATAATATGTATTAAAAGACAAATCAGAGGATTGCTAGATGAATTGGGGGCTTTTTAATTCTTAAAAGGCCCAAACACAGCACAATTTTTGAAAATAAAATACCCATACTGCTCCCCCCAAAGAAAACATTCAAATTAGGGCTACACTGAGGGCAAAGTAGCGAGGGTTGAGTTTCAAGCAAACTGATCACAAAGGGATGTGAACGACAGGGAAACTAGTATTAAGGGGACTGCCCAGGGCCATCCTTGCTTCCTGCAAGGCCCTGACCCCCAAGCAGCGGAAACACGGCACCCAGGGCAGCTCCTCCCATCGCACCCCTCCCAGGCCCGCAAAAGGTGCGGCTAGTGAGGATTCATCAGGCATGGGGAGCCCGGGACAAGGGTGACAGAGGTGAAGAACAGAGCCTGGGGAGGCACCCGGAGGCACCCCAACACTGCCGGCCCGTCTCAGGGCAGAGGACATGAAGGGAATGGTTTAAACAGGGATCGAGTCGAATTTTCAGCCCTGGGCGGCCCCTGAAGTGGACGGTTGGTGTTGGGCGCACAGGTGGAGGGGAAGGAGGACAGAGACAGAGAGAGAGACAGCCAGAGACTGTGAGAGAGTCTGAGACATAGCCGGTCAGACAGACAGGAGGAGGAGGAGATGGGGAGAGAGATACTTACTTCACGGTTTATCCGAATCTTAATGATTCCAGTGAGGGAACAGTACAAAGCAAAAGAGACAGATATTAGGCCAGAGGCAGATGGAGGTGGACGGAGCACAGGAGTGGCCAGAATGGGTGATGCCAGCAGGGGCGGCAGAGCAGAGATGCGAGGGCTGGGCAAGAGAGGGGGAGGGGCAGGTCCCTGCCGGGGCCCAAGGAGAAGCCGACGAGGACCTTGAGGAGACCGAGGCGAGGCCCCTGTCACCAAAACTGCCCAAGTCTGAGAGGCCAGGCCAGGCCCGGCCCCATAGCCCAGCCAGGGGAGAGGATGGGAGGTGGGGGAGAAGGTAAGGAATTCTGGGAAATACAGGGTAGCGCATCTGGCCACCAGGAGGGAATGAAGACAAAGGAAAGGAAAGGTCACCTCCAGAGTCCCTGACTCCCGGCCTCCCAGCTACATGCCTCCTCCACCTCCAGCCGGTCATGCCGCTCCTACCTGGGCCACCCTTCCCTTCCCTCTCCAGCCACCCAAGGCCAGCACAAGTCCTCTGCTTCCACGCAGCTGGCCACAGCTAACCCTGGCACTACCACCACCTTGATGTGTGACGCTGAGGAAGTCATTCCTTTTTTCTGGCCTGTGCTTTCCCATCCAGTCTGAATTTATTTTACTTGTACGCTTATGTGTCTCCCCAACTAGAATCTATATGTTCACGGAAAGCAGGGACTGTGTCTGCTTGCTCACTGCTGTATCCCTGGTGCCCAGCACAATGCCTGGCACACAGTAGATGCTCAAAACATAGCTAACAAATGAATAAATGACTCTCTACCAAACTTGGCTCGCTGCAGGTCAGGGAGTCTGATCAGGGTCCAACTACCGGGCCTGTCCTGTCTCACCCTCATCCACACTTGGGGAGCAGACTCATCACCTCTCCTTCACACTCAAGCTCAGGCCCCCTGGCTGCCTGCCCTGTCTCTGGCCCCTCCCTCTGGTCCAGCCCGACCAGTTGCTGCTATGGCTGGCAGGACAGTCTCATGGTTAGCAGCAAAGGCTTTGGAGACCCTGACAGGCTGAGATTTGAATCCCTTCTTTACCACTCCCTAGCCGTGTGACCTGGGAAAAGTAGCTTCACCTCTCTGAGCCCCAGTTTCCTCACCTGTTAAGTGAGGCCACACAATGCTAACTACTGCATAGGGCAGTTGTAGGGATTATATAAAATTAATTATTTGGTATGAAGTGCTTAACACAGTGCTTGGCACACAGTACATGGTCAATAAACCTGAATTATATTCTTAAAGTACCGCTCTGATCACGGGTAAACACTTTTAATGACTCCCTGGTGCCCCTAGGGAAAAGGCCAAATTCCTCAGCTTTGCCATTCGTGGCCTTCAGCGCAGCCCCTGTCTGCCTTCAGCCTCTCTGTATCACCAGAATCCCACCCCCAGGCTCTTGGCCCCTCACCGAGAGGGGATCCTTCCTCACATCTAGGCCTAGCTGTCTTCCCGGCATTCTGCCTCACTGACACTCCCCTCCACCATCCCCATCCCCCGTCTCTCAGGCCAACTCTGGCCTGCAGGAAGCCCTCCTGACAGCTGCCGCCCACCCTCTCCTCCCCTCGGCTGAGCTCCGTGGCACTGACTGCAGGAGGTGGGGGCACTCAGAACCCAGCCACGTGAACCCTCATTTATTCCCTGACAGGTCCCACCCTGCCTGGACAGTGAGCCTGGAGTAGGCAGGGCCGGTCAGCAGAGATGACGGGGTGAGGCACTCACGTCTATGTAGTTGGCATTAATGTAGTCGGCATCAGGGTCTCCCAGCATCGGGTGCAGTTTCACTCGGTGCCGATCATCTGGAAACACAGAGCAGGTGGCCATGGGGTGGGCAGGGGCTGAACTGGGGAGCCCAGAGCTGAGGCAGTGGGGGAAGCTTCCTGGAGGCCAGAGGTGGGGCACAGACAGGTCAGCCAGGGAACCTAGAGGCGCAGGACCAACGAATAGGCCCTTGGTACTGCTGGAGGCAGGGCGGGCCAGTGGTTAGAGTCTGCGCTGCAGCATCAAGAAGGCCTGAGGTCCTGTGCTGCTCACACAAGTATATTAGCTGTGTGACCTTGGGCAGGGGGCTTAACCTCCTAAGCCTCAGTTTCCTTATCTGTAAAGTGGGGGGTTCTACTACATCCACTTCACAGGGTTACTGAGAGGACGAAGTGAGATAACAGGTGTGATGCTCAGCGCACAGCTTGGCATGAGACAGGCCCTCAATAAATGGCTCACTCTTCTGTTCTGCTGCTTCCTGTTCCATCCCACCCACTGCCCCAGACCCCAGGCCCTTCCCCAGGACTCACAGGCAGGCATGGTCTCCTGCCGGCCGCCCTTGACCTTGTCTTTCTTCTTTGTAGCATCCCAGCCTTCAAAAAAGCTCTGCCAGAAGGGAAAGTGGTAGTTAGTGAGGGAGGGAAGCCCCTCTCTCATAAGAGCCCTATCCCCTCAAGAGGATGGGAGTGGGACCACGGCAAGGGCCAGGTTCAGGGTTAAACTTGGGGCCTGAAATAAAGTCACTGTAAATTCCTTTGTAAGTGAGGGACTAAGTTCAATACCAAACTGTGTAGGGGGAAGAGAGAAAAGAGGGGAAAAGAGGGTTAGAGTTCAGAGACGTTTTAGAATGAGGTCAGGTTTAGGGCAAATCCAGGTATGAGCTGGGAAGAAGGTAAAGGTGAGGGTCAAATTAAGTCCAGATGGAGGTAGGATGGGATTCAAGTCAGAGTCCAAACGGAGCTTAGGATGAGAGTCAGGGTCAAAGTCAGACTGGGATTTAGGTTGGAGGTCAGGGTCAGTGTTGGTGGTCAGGTTCATATCAGGAATAGAATAAGGATCCCTGCAGGGTCCAGATGGAGACTGAGATAAGATTCAAGATCAGTTTTCAAGTCAGGGTTAGGATGAGAGTTAGAAACCAGGTCAGTCTGAGGTTAGGATCAAGGTCAAGGTCAAGGTCAAAAGATTAGGTTGAATTTGGGGACTGTCAGAGCATGGGTCCATCTAGGGCTGGGCTGAGGGCTGCCAGGGTCCACAGGGAGGAGCAACCAGGCAAGGCCCTGGCGAGGGGTCCTGGCTGGACTGGGCCCGTGCACCTCATACTCCTGCTTGAAGCCGTAGCCCTCGGCCGTCTTCATCTGGTTGATGTGCTGCAAGAGGTCGGCCACACGCACCGCAGGATGCAGCTGCCCCGTGTGGTACGGGGAGCCCTTCCGGCCACACGGACGCCGCGGTGAGCCTCCCAGGAGGCTGCTGGCCTCAGTGACCCCACCACTGCGCTGGTCTCCTGTAGTCAGAGAAAGGGAAAGGGGTTTCTGATACACACGGGCCCCAGCCTGGGGAACCCCAGTTGGACTCAGGGGGCCGAGGGAGGGAAGGGAGCACGGCCAGCGTGGAGGACACCTGGGTTGTTTGCTGGAGCCAAGCAGCTGGCTGGGCCCACCCTGTGTGACCCTGGGTGGCCCCTTCCCTGCTGTATCTCAGTTTTCTCATCTGTAAAATGAGGGGATTGGTTCATATGAATTCGGAGGGCCCTTCTGGTTCAGCCCTGCCAGCTGTGATCCCGTGGTCCCCTCACCCTCCTGGGCTCCCCTGCAGGGCCCACCCCTCTGTGACTTCACCTGCTGCCTGCAGGGGGAAGTGCTCAGCAGAGCCCATGACATCCCTCCTTCCTTCCCCTCTTCCAGGGAACAATCTGGAACATTGACAACTCCCAGCAATTACCCCCATTCAAAGACAAGCAAGTCCCGAAACTAGCTGCTGCTGCCACCCCTTCTGCAGATTAACGGGAAGCACCTGAATAGAGGCGTTTCTCCTGCGTAAGCATTTCCATTGTCAGCCTGTGCGTAGGCTCAACCCGCGGGGAAGAGGCGGAGAGGTTCACAGTGCCCCACGTGCCCCAGGAAACTATCCTCTCCCTCCAGGCCACCCACTTCCTGGCTCTCCTGGTCAGCATCCCCAAGGCCATCCCACCCTGGTCCTTAGATCAGGTCCTGGGATTGAGAAAACAGTCCTGCCCAGCCACACCCACCTTCCAACACTCACTCCCACACTCATTCCCTTCTCCTGGCCTGGGAGAGGTGCAGGGGCTCATTCTCCGCGTGTCTCACCGCTGTTCTCTGCCCAGCGGGGCCTAGATGCCAGCCCTCTCCCTGCCCTGTGCCTTCACACATGCTTTTTCTCTGCTTCAAACACTCCCCCCTGTATGCCTGGTGAACTCATACTCATCCTTCAGGCCTCAGCTAAAATGACCCTCCTTGGGGAGCCTTCTCTGGCTGGTGCCTGGCCTCTAATTCCTAGTCATGACTAACAGACAGAATGAATGCAGCACCGGGACGGACACCACCACCTCCCTCCTCTGTGCAGCTCCACTTCCCCGAAGTCCAATCTCTGCCTCTTCAAATCAGGGAGACTGCAGGCCCTGCTTGAGTTCCCCTTCCTGTGCTGAGGTTTGAAAACTGCCTCCAAGTAGAAAAGTGATGCCAGGCAAGGCTCACCTCATGTGTTTCTCTTCTCTCGGGAATCACAGTCATGAGGTACCTGGCACCCGATGTCTGAAAACAACTGTTTCACGTATTTTATCCAGATTTCTAGTTGCTTACAGCTGGAGTGCAAGTCATGTGCCAGTTACACATTCGTGGTCCAATGCGCCAAACCCTTAGTTTTTCAGATAGGGAAACTGAGATCCAAAGAGGAGAGATTTGCCTAATGTAGTGGTTGTCCAAGTGTGTTCCAGAAAATACTGGTTGTGCCAGATGACTCAATGGTATTCCATTAAAAAGAAGAGAAGGAGGATGAGGAGGGGTTCTACGTTTTAAAGGAGTCTGTGCAATTGTTTTAAACAAAAATAAGTAGGTTTTTTTTCCCTGTTAAACCTCTCAGGGCTTCCAACAAGTTAGTGTGTATTTTAAATCTCCAAGAAATGGAGGAAAATAGCAATGTTTCACCTCCCTCTTTCACCACGGAAAGCTTGTTTCATGAAACATCCTCAGGGGAACACAGTGTAATATGGTGATTAAGAGACATGCTCTGAAGTCAGACAGGCCTCAGATCAAATCCCAACTCTGCATGTGACCTTGGGGATGTTAATTACTCTCCAGAAATTTCCCTTTTCATATGACAAATGAAGATTAAAACTGTTACTCTCCAAGATGATGATGTAAGTATTCAATAAGATAACGTGTATGAAGCACCCAGCCCAGTGTCTGGCACATGAGCACCTGCAGATGGGGCTGTTGACATGATCAGGAGCTTCCAGGAAAGGGAGGGACCTCTGGAGTCCCAGAAAGCCAGGGCAGCTGTTTGACAAGAGGTGGCCTTTCTGTCTTGGTCCTTCTCTACCGTAGGATCTTGGTCCAGGACCTGACAACTCTAAAGACCATCTACCACAGACACACAAGACAAGCACAAAGGTTTCAAGAAAAAAAGATTTCTGCTGGCTCAAAGAACTCAGAGATGAAGGGGTCCTAAGTGTTCTTCATGGAAACCATGCCAACAGCTCCATAGAGAGCTCTCCAGGTGCAGAATGCAACAGCTCATCCCAGAGATCTTGAAGGGTTGGAAACCTTGATACAGCCTCACAAGTAGGCATGGAATCATCTTGCAATGGGTGAAGACAAGCAAAAAATCCCACTTGCTTGGGGTCCAGACAGGAAGCCAGAGCCAAAGCTGGGCGGCTTCCAGCTGAGCCCGAGAGCAACACAAGATGTTCTACAAATAAGACCACCAGAAGACAAAGGATGATGAACAATTATGCTGCCAAGAAGACCCTCCATTTCCTGGGGCCCAGAGAAGACAGGTCCTTACTCTTCTCACCCATGAATTACCATGGGATTTCACTCACACTCACACACACACACACACACACACACACACACACACACACACACACTCCACCCCCGCCCCGGCCTCTCCCATACACACACATACCCCAAGAACCAGCTTGCCCACAGCTGGAAGCCCCTGAAAGGGAGGAAGAGAGGAAGGAAGGTAAGAGCCAGCCATCAGCTTCAAGGTCACCACTCAGGGGCTCTCCCAGGCTCTCTCCAGCTCCATTATGATTGTCGGACAATTTTGGGGAGTAACCACTGGATAGCTGATGTTTTGCGGGGAGGGCTGAGGCCCAGAGGAAAGAACACTGGGTGTGGAGTCGGAGAAGCCTGGATTTGAATTCTGACTCAAGCCACTTGACCTCTCTGGACCTCAGTTTCCTCATTCGAAAATGGAGATCCTCAGATTTTCCTCAAAGATGGGCACTTTCCCCGATTCCCATCCACCCTCAGATGAAGACAGGCCACCGGTTATACAATCTAGCAGCATATTATATTTTTCCTTCACCATCTGCAATTAGCAAATAACTTTAAAGAAACACAGTCTGTAATAATAGCTAACAATATCTAACATACTGAGTGCTTTCATATGCCTAGCATGATTCTTAAGTCATTCAATCCTTAGAATATCCCTATGAAGTAGGTGCTATTGTTATCCCCCCTATTAAACAAGGAAACTGAGGCCCAGAAGGGTTAAGTTACCTGCTCCTTAAGTGGAAGCATCAGGATTCAAACCCAGGCCCAACTGACTCTGGGATCCTCTTGTCTTTCTCTGTTTTCCTCTCCCTGATAAAGGGGCATTTGTGGTGTCAAATAAGGTGCACTGGTTCCCACACAGATCAAGAGCTCCGGATGGACAGGGCCCAGAGGGTTTGAGGGTTTTCATAGGCAAGATCAGAGTCGAAGGGGGCACATTCCAACATCTTGGGAACATCCCAGCTCAACATTTACTCAGCACGGGAAGTCCCTATTTAAAACTTCCATATTGAGGATACATCAAAATCAACATGGCTTTCTGTTCTAAACCACAAAACTCTGGCCTCCACTGTTTGGAAAGAAAAGAAGGAAGTGGCGGCTAGACCAGCATGGGGCATAAAAAAAGAGAGAGAAGCCTTGAGACTGAGCTCCAGTCTCCTGAATACACCTTGAGCTTCCCAGCCGTCACACCTTCCCCGTGTCCTGCATCCTGCCTTCAATGCTCCCACCTTCCTCACCATCAGTCAAATCTTATCCATCTCAGCCGAAACCCTGACCTCCCCTGCCCAAATGTGTATCTTCTCAAGACTACAGCAGCACTAACTGTCCCCACTACCCCCTGGCAATTAGCCTAGTGTGGACTTCCCTGGGTCAATCTCATCTCCCCAACTAGTCAGTGAGTTCCTTGGGAGCAGAACCCGTGTTTCCTGCCTCACTGCATCTCTTCATAAGACTCAGCAGCAAGGCATGTGCCCACACCACCTTCACCTCCCACTCTCCCCAGCACCCACTTGAGTTTTCAGCCCAAGCAAACCTCTCCATGTCGTCCTCTGTGCCCACCTCCATGCATTTACACATGCTGTTCTTCATGCACATCTGCCTTTTCCTTCCCATCTCTGCTGGTCCAAATCCTACCCGGTCCTCTAGGCCCAGCATGATACAGCAGAAACAGCAATTTGCAATTCAGAAAGACCTGAATTTAAATCCTGACTCTGCCACCTTCTGCTTGATCTGGACAAGTGATTCTCCTCTCTGGGTCTCTGTTTCCTCATTTGCAAGATGAAGGGTTGATAACAGCTACTACTGTGTGTGTAAATTTAATGAGGGAGGTCACAAAGAGAACATGATGCATAAATGCAAGTCAATGAATTTGAAAACATAAATGAAATGGACACATTCCTAGACAACTATAACTTACTAAAAGTGTCTTGAAAAAACCAGAAAGCTTGAATAGTCCTTTACTTCTTTAAATAGATTGAATTAAAAGTTTAAAATGTTTCAATAAAGAAAGCAAAAAAAAAAAGATTATTTCACAGGTGAATTCCACCAAACTTTCAAGGAGTCAATTACTCCAATCTCCCATGATAAGGAAAAAAGAGAAGAGCCCTCAATGCTTTTTTTTTTTTTTTTTTTTTTTTTTTTTTTTTTTTTTTTTTTTTTTTTTTTTTTTTTTTTTTTTTTTTTTTCCGGTACGCGGGCCTCCCACCACTGCGGCCTCTCCTGCTGTGGAGCACAGGCTCCGGACGCGCAGGCCCAGCAGCCACGACCCACGGGCCCAGCCACCCCGTGGCATGTGGGATCCTCCCGGACCGGGGCACGAACCCACGTCCCCTGCACCGGCAGGCAGACTCCCAACCACTGCACCACCAGTGAAGCCCTCAATGCATTTTATAAGACAAACAGAATCTTGATACCAGAAACCAGACAAAGACAGTATAAAAGAAGAAAAATTATAGGCCAATCCCATTCAGGAATACAACTT